CAGATGATCTGATCAAGGAATATCTTGTAAGTTTCAAGTAATTTGTATGTCTTCACATCTTAATAAAAGGGACACACAAATATTCTAGATTACTATCTAGAGTCTAGTCTAGTTTGTAATAGAGGTGTAAAGGATCACAAAATTCATGGTTCAGATTGCATCACAGATTTTAAGTTACAGATCAAATAATTTTTTGGAACAGCCTACCCCCAATAAAATGTTAATAGAAAATTCTCTGTGGGGAGCAGCTGAGGTCACACAGACACAGATGAGAGGCTCTAATATCGGAACTGTATTTTCACATCTGCTAATCTCACTTACTAGTCTTTTCAAGAGCTAATAAACTGCTCTATCATAATAACATTATATTAAATGATGTTGGATTTTTATTACACTGCTCCATCTGCCATTACTGTCATCGTCAACTGCTTTGTGCATTGTTCACATGAGCGGACAACTACTTTGCATCTTTACACAGCAGTTTTGTGTGAATATGTAGGGAATAAGTAGATCTGCTCTAAAAAAAGCAACTGTAGCAGTAAAACTGTTTGTCACAATATTGTTAAAATCCGGAAGTCATATGTAGTTCATGTGTCAAACCATCGAGGGTGATCAAAACAGATTGCACCTCAGCTGCAGTCCCTTACAGCACTAGCTTGATCCCTTTTAGGTATAATAAAGTAAAAATGTTACCTAATGTTTAACACAGTGTTGCGCTCTGTAATGTTACTATTACATTGTGCCTGTTCAAAAATCTTGCCAAAATAAACTGTTCAGTAATTGTGGTTTATATGTATATGATAATGATTTTTTTTTTCTTGCTGTAATCGAGCAGCCCTAATACACAGTTCATAAACTGTGCTCTTAGATTTTTGTATTCTCTTTAAGATGAAATCAGTAAGTTTTCACATTAACAATGGAATGATTAAATTATTGTTCCATAAAGCATGAATATTTACTTTGTAACCTGATGTCTCTGATCTTTTGTGTACTGTACTGTAGGACTCGACTGCAGATAATGCACAGATAG